TAGAGAGAAGAAGGTTAAGAGGTGACTTGATAGAGACATGCAAGATGATCAGAAGATTAGATAGGGTGGACAGTGGGAGCCTTTTTCCTCGGATGGTGATGGCTAGCACGAGGGGACATAGCTTTAAATTGAGGGATGATAGATATAGGACAGATGTCAGAGGTAGGGTCTTTACTCAGAGAGTAGTAAGGGCGTGGAATGCCCTGCCTGCAAAAATGGTAGACTTGCCAACTTTAAGGGCATTTAAATGGTCATTGGATAAACATATAGATGATAATGGAATAGTTTAGGTTAGATGGGCTTCACAGGTCGGTGCAACATTGAGGGCCAAAGGGCCTGTACTGCACTGTAATGTTCTATCCAGTCTTGTTAGGATTTACCTGGAGGAAACCCACGCAGACACGGGGAGAACGTGCAAACTCCACACAGACAGTCACCCGAGGGTGGGATCGAACCCAGGACCTTGGCACTCAGTGGTAGCAGTACTAACCACTGAGTCACTGAGCCACCGTGCCACTCCTGTGATTACATCGCTGTTTGTGTGATCCTGCTGTGCATTTTTGTCCTTCGCAGCAGTGGCTGCATTTCAGAAAATATTTGTTGGCTGAAACCTGTTTTTACAAATCCTGAGGTGATGGGGCCAGCATTGAATTGCAAAGTGCTATATTTCACTGAAGAGTAATTGTGGGTTTCCGTCTTACCAGGTCGGTTCTTCCTGGGAATCTCTCACTGTCGATCCCAGACAATCCTCTCCGTTTTGTCTGCTGCTTTCATCTCCAGTTCTGTCATTGGCTTGTCCCACTGAGCCCAGCCCAGGCTTATCGTTTACAACACCCTGTGAAATCCCTTACATAAGCATCCAAAAGCAATCCTCTTACCAGGCTTCACCCAGTCATGTGTGTTTTTGTGTGCATGTGCCTGTGTTTTTGTGTACGTGTGCCTGTGTTTTTGTATACGTGTACCTGTGTTTTTGTGTATGTGTGTCTGTGTTTTTGTGTATGTGTGCCT